GCTCCTCCTGCTCCTCCTCCTCCTCCTCTTGCTCTTCCTCCTGCTCTTCCTCCTCCTCCTCCTCCTCCTCCTCCTCCTCCTCCTCCTCCTCCTCCTTTCTCCTTCCTTATTCCTCCTTCCTCCTTCCGCCCCCCAGAAGGGGCACGAGAGGATGAGGCGCCGGCAGGAGTAATGGATCAGGCAGAGTGCATGGCCCAAGGCTTTGGAGGACTGCCCCTGGAACCTCCGAGCCGTAGGGTGCTGCACCCACCCACCCACCCCAACAGAAAAACTCTGCACACGGGTGGTATATGATAAGAGGCGGGGATTTGATCCGTACCCTCCACCTGGGAGCCCACGTCCTGGGGACCCAGCGGGAGGTGGATGTGCACATGGTTTGGCCCCCTGGGTGCCAAAAAATATCCGTGTCCACCGCCTTCGGAGGTCCATGAGAATCGATCCTCCAGGCGGTGGTTATGTATGAATCCCCTTATCGAGTACGAGGTATGCTAATATTACCTCGGCTGCGTCTTGGGCCCCGCCCCCCCGACCCCTCCAGCGAGCAACGCCACCTCTGTCGACACTTTGTGGCCCGTCCCATGGGCCCTCACGGGTAGACCCAAGCCCTGCCAAGAAGGCCCGCAGCGACGCTGAGACGAGGCGCAAAGGCGACAGGGCGTACCCAGATCGCGAGACGGGCCCCGAAAGCCCCAAGACTGCACGAGGAGGCTCCCAAACGCCCTCGGACGCCGTTCAAAACGCCCCATGGGATGCCACGATGAGCCAAGACGATTAGATTACAGCTGCGGTCTTCGATCATCCGCCATGCCCCCCTGGCGCGCTGAGGCGTGGCAGGATGCAAAGTGCTGCCTGGTCGAGTTTTTGCGTTATAATGGAGGGAACCCTCCCTTCCCTAATCGCAAGTTGGCGCGTGCACAGCCCATGCTCCCGAGGCCACGATCCCTCGTAAAACCTGATATTGCCACGAACCCCGACCTTGGAGGACAAGTGGGCGTGACTTGCGAGGAAGAGAAAAACAAAGAAGAAGATGCCTATACGGCAGATAATGCTGATTCGAATGTTGTCCGTTTGACGCTGTGCCGCTTTAAGGCACATTATGCTGGTTCCTGTGTTGTCCGTTTGACGCTGTGCCACTTCGTCGGGGCGTCGCCGACCATCTTGGAGCCCTGTTGGGCAGTCTTCGGGCCCGGAACCCTCTAAGGCAGTCCTGGGACCCTCTTGGGGGCCTCTTGGGGCTTCCTGGAGATCTCTCAGAGGCTCCTTGGGGCCTCTTGGAGGCCTTTGGGGGCCTCCTGGGGGGTTCCTTACGCGGAGAGCCCAGAATGTCGGTCCCTGCCCCCTCTATGCAGCCCCTCTTAGGGCGTTCCTGGGGCCTTCGTAGGCCGCCTTGGAAACTGAAGTAGGCGCGTTGCTGTGAGGATCCGATGTACGTATTCGGAGCGCAAGTCATTGCGGTACCCTTTGAAGGACGCTCCGAGGGCGATGCACCAGTCTTCGACGGTAATGGTGGTGAGGCCCTGACGCTGGGTTTTACGGGGCTTCCATGTCAGAAACGATTCCAAATCGTCGCCATGAGCCACAATCCAATCCGAAATGAAGGCCGGGGTGAGGGTGCGCGGCCAACGCGTCGGCGAAGGCATGTGCGCTCGGGGGATGGCGATGCAGGAATGTGGCCAAACGTGAGACACATTGCAGCAGGCCTGGGGGAACGCGCGCCCGGTCGGATCTAAGAGGCGACGGGGAGGGGGTCGCGGGTTCACATGGCGGGCGAAGCAAGGGAGTAGGAGGGCTCTGAAGGCTCCTGGGGACCCGCGGACAGCGTCGGAGGTTGTGTCGGGGACGTCTCTGACTGTATGAGAAAGGAGTGGACTACCTGCGGCTTGCGGGGGCCGTACGCGGCCGTGTTGAGTCCTCCTGGTGGCCTCATGGGTGGCTTTCTGGCAATCTGAGAGTTCGCTTCGGGTTCCTCTGCCAAAACTGTCCGGAGGGAAAGGTGGCCCAAAAAACATGGTGCGTCTTGGATGTGAGGTCAGAACGCGACCAGGCGAGTTACGAGGTGAGCTTAGCACGTGTCCATGCGAGCCACATGGAAGGGAGGGGGTGAGCTCAGCACGCGACCATGCGAGTCACGAGGTGAGCTCAGCACGTTTCCATGCGAGCCACAGGGAAGGGAGGGAGCGCGGTGTCACATCACGGGTAAGAAAATGGGGTTTGGGGGCTCTGGAGGCTCCTGGGGGCCCTCGGGTTGTTGGAGGTTGTGTCGGGGCCGCTTATGAAGAGAAGGTGCCCAAAAAAACGGTGGTGCGTCTTGGAGGTGGGGTCAGCATGCGACCAGGCGAGTTACGAGGTGAGCTCAGCACGTGTCCATGCGAGCCACATAGAAGGGAGGGGGTGAGCTCAGCACGCGACCATGCGAGTCACGAGGTGAGCTCAGCACGTTTCCATGCGAGTCACGGGGAAGGGAGGGGGCGCGGTTTCGCATGACGGAGGAGAAAATGGAGGTTGGTGGCTCTGAAGGCTCCTAGAAGCCCTCGGGTTTGGTTGGAGGTTGTGTCGGGGACGTGTCTGACTGTATGAGGACTGGATTGGACAGCCTGCGGCATACGGGGCCGCATGCGGCCGTGTTGAAGCTTCCGGGGGGATGCTGTGATTCGATCGACGCTGTGATGCGTAACGCGCATTACATTGGTTCCCGTGTTGTCCATTTGACGCTGTGACGCTTTGTCGAGGCGCCTCCGGCCGTCGTGGGGCCCTCTCAGGGCCGTCCTGAGGCCCTGTTGGGCGCTTCTGGGGGCTTGCTGGAGACCTCCTAAGGTGAACTCAGGAAATTGCCATACGAGCTAGGAAGTCTCGGGGCTGTCCGTTTGTCGCTGTGAGGCTTTGTCGAGGCACTTCCAACAGTCCTGGAGTCGTGGGGCAGTCCTGGTGCCCTCTTGGGCGTTTCTGGGGGCTTCCTGGAGGCGTGGTGAAGTCTTGAAGCTTGTTGGGGTCGTTTTGGGGGCCTCTTGGGGCCTCATCAAGTCCTTCAGCCGTCCTGTGGCCCTCCTGAGAGAGTCCCAGGGCTGTCCGTTTGTCGCTCTGACGCTTTGTCGAAGCGTTTCCAGCAGTCCTGGGATTTTGTGGCCGTCCTGGGGCTCTCTTGGGGGCTTGTCGGGGCTTTCTGGAGGCGTCTTGAGGTCTTGAGGCATCTTTTTTCCCCAACCATCCTGTGGTGTTGGGTCCTCGTTTTGAAGAGACAGCGCCCCGCGTCTCCTCTCCTATCCTCTCCTCTCCTCCTCCTCCTCTCCCCCCTCCTCCCTCCTCCCATCGCCGTCATCATACTCATCGTCATCATCATCATCATCATCATCATCATCATCATCATCATCATCATCATCATCATCATCATCATCATCATCATCATCATCATCATCATCACATCATCATCATCATCGTCATCATCACCACCAGCATCATCATCGTCATCATCATCGCCATCGCCATTAGTTCCCAACCATCCTGTCATCATCACCACCAGCATCATCATCGTCATCACCACCAGCATCATCATCATCATCATCATCATCATCATCGCCATCGCCATTAGTTCCCATTTCCGCACACCCCTCACACGTTTCGTGGCCCCATAGGGAGCTCCACCGAAGGCCCCAGTGGCAGGGTTCGCATGCCGCCCCCACCCCACTTTGGCACACCCCTCACACGTTTCGTGGCCCCATAGGTAGCTCCACCGAAGGCCCCAGTGGCAGGGTTCGCATGCCGCCCCCACCTCACTTTGGCACACCCCTCACACGTTTCGTGGCCCCACAGGGAGCTCCACCGACGGCCCCAGTGGCAGGGTTCGCATGCCGCCCCCACCCCACTTTGGCACACCCCTCACGCATTTCGTGGCCCCATAGGTAGCTCCACCGAAGGCCCCAGTGGCAGGGTTCGCATGCCGCCCCCACCTCACTTTGGCACACCCCTCACGCGTTTCGTGGCCCCATAGGTAGCTCCACCGAAGGCCCCAGTGGCAGGGTTCGCATGCCGCCCCCGCCCCACTTTGGCACACCCCTCACACGTTTCGTGGCCTCATAGGGAGCTCCACCGAAGGCCCCAGTGGCAGGGTTCGCATGCCGCCCCCATCTCACTTTGGCACACCCCTCACACGTTTCGTGGCCCCATAGGGAGCTCCACCGACGGCCCCAGTGGCAGGGTTCGCATGCCGCCCCCACCCCACTTTGGCACACCCCTCACGCATTTCGTGGCCCCATAGGGTGCTCTACCGAAGGCCCCCGTGGCAGGGTTCGCATGCCGCCCCCACCCACTTTTGCACACCCCTCACACGTTTCGTGGCCCCATTGGGAGTTCCACCGACGGCCCCAGTGGCAGGGTTCGCATGCGTCCGCGCCACCCATGTCGACACACCCTTGACACGTTTCGTGGCCCCATAATGAGCTCCACCGAAGGCCCCAGTGGCAGAGTTGGCATGCCGCCCCTCGCCCATTTCGGCCCACCCCTCACACGTTTCGTGGCCCCATAGGGAGCTCCACCGAAGGGGCCCCAGTGGTTGCGTTCGCATGCGTCCCCACCACCCATTTCGGCACACCCCTCATACGTTTCGTGGCCCCATAGGGAGCTCCACCGAAGGCCCCAGTGGCTCCCCACCACCCATTTCGGCACACCCCTCACACGCTTCGTGGCCCCATAGGGAGCTCCACCGAAGGCCCCAGTGGCTGCGTTCGCATGCCTCCCCACCACCCATTTCGGCACACCCCTCACACGTTTCGTGGCCCCATAGGGAGCTCCACCGAAGGCCCCAGTGGCAGGGTCCGCATGCCTCCCCACCACCCATTTCGGCACACCCTTCACACGTTTCGTGGCCCCATAGGGAGCTCCACCGAAGGCCCCAGTGGCGCGGTGCCTATGAGAAGAGGGGCCTAGTTTGCGTGCCCCCTCCTTCGTCTCATATCCGTGCGGTACTCGTAGCTGCATATGGTTGGGTCCTTCGCCAGGCTAATTTTTTGACCGATAGTGGCGCGAACAAAAAAGACCGTTGCGGACAAGCGTCCGCGCCTACCTACGATCGAATGTACGGAAGGAGTACGCTCACTGTGAAGGTAAAACAACTTGAGCTTGACAACTCTGCTGGCCACTAGGCACTCACATGCGAGCGAAAATAATGGCAGCAAGATGCTCATCCCTCCCTCACGCAACAGCCGATGGGGCCAGCGCCCTTCCGACCGAACAAAGAATACGAGATGGCCAGGGTAAACTTTGCCTCCTGGCCTCTCCGCTTGGTGCGGTCTGTTGGAATCGTGCTCTCGCCCCCCCAAACGCCTCCTTTGGGCCTCCCCCTGCACAAGCGAGGCCCTCTGGAAGCACTCGCGTGCTGGCCTCTGCAGCGGGGCCTGGCTGGTACCGGCAGCCTCCTCCTCACGCTGGCTCCTCGCCCCTGCAGCCCTTGTGGAAGTTTGCGCAGCAGTACTGGATCTTCCTCGGCGACCACGAGAGTTCCAGGCAGTGCATGCAGTGGTGGTAGCCAGCGTCGCAGTCGTACACGCTTCTGTCTGGCTCCGCCGGAGCGTTGGACGGCGGCAGCCCCGAGGGCGGAGGCAGCTCCGACGGGCAGCCCCTGTTGGCGGTCCTGCAGCAGTACAGCTTCTTCTGGCCAGACCAGCCGCGGACCCACTGCAAAGGATCCAGGTCGTTGTAACCAGCGTTGCAGTCGATCGGACAGGGCGAGGTGGTGACCACTGGCACTGGCGCGGGCATGGTGCTGGGCGCGGGCGGCGTCGTGGGGCACCCCTTGCCCACGTGTAGGCAGCAGAAGACCTTCTTCGGGACGTCCCAACTCATGGCGTCGCCCTGCTGGCAGTCGATCCTCTTCTCCGTCATCGTGGGTGGAGGCGGGGGCGGAGGCGGCGGAGGCGGCGGGGGCGGCGGGGGCGGCGGCGGCGGGGGAGGCGGCCTGGCGGTCGTCTTCTCGGTGGTCGTGGTGGTGTCGGGTGGCGCCGTGCTCGGCGGAATATACGGCCTGGTGGTGGTCGTGGTCGTCGTGGTCGTCGTCGTCGAGCCTGGCGCCATCGCGAAGAGCAGGAGAGGCAGCAGGAGCAGCGACAGCCCCAGATGGAGGAGCAGGCACAGGCAGCAGTTGGGGCCGCGCCCCGGGATGCGGACCACGCCGAACTCGCCCGCGCCCGTGCCCACGTACCTGTAGGTGGTCTCCTGGGCGTAGTCGCCCCCTGGGCCCACGTAGCTCAGCACGGTGGTGCCGCCCGCCCCGCAGCCGGAGGAGTCGGCGCAGGTCGCGCCGCAGGCGGGGCCGCAGCCCATGCACGCGGTGGCCTCGGCGCAGCACCCCGTGCAATCACCGGCGCCGGCACCGTGCGCGCCGCCTCCGCCGTAGGCGCCGCCTGGGCCGCAGGCGCCGCCCGCACCGCCGAGGCCCCCGCCGTAGCCTCCGAAGAGCCCAGAGCCAAGGCCGCCGCCGTAGCTCCCGAAGCGCCCCGAGCCGAGGCCGCCGCCGTAGCTCCCAAAGAGCCCCGAGCCGAGGCCGCCGCCTCCGCCGTAGGCGCCGCCCGCGCCGCCGAGGCCCCCGCCGTAGCCTCCGAAGGGCCCAGAGCCGACGCCGCCGGAGCGGTAGAAGGCCATGGCGCTGGCGGCGCGGTGAAGTGGGGGGCCGCTGCCGCGGCGGGGCGTGCTGGGAAACTGCGAGGAGAGAAAATGCACAACTGTGCTTCAGCCAAAATGGCTTGAGCCAAAATGGCTACGGTGAGGTCTTGAGGCATCTTGGGGTCTTCTTGGGCGTCACTTGGGGTCTCATCACGTTCCCGAATTGTCCGTTTGACGCTGTGAGGCTTTGTCGAGGCGCCTCCAGCAGTCCTGGGGCTCTCTTGGGGCAATGCTCGGCCCATCTTGGGCGCTTCTGGGGGCTTGCTGGAAGCCTCTGGAAGGTTCTTGCGGGCCTCTTGGGGCCTCTTCAGGGTTATTGGGGCCTCTTGGGAACTTCTTGGGAGCTTCTGGGGGCCTCAGGAGGGGTCATTGGGGCGGAGAACCCGAAACCTCGGATTTCGTCGGAGGTTGTGTCGGGAACGTTTCTGAAAAAAAAGGTGGCCAAGAAAACGACAATGCGTCTTGGATGTGGGCTCAGCACGTGACTAGGCGAGTTACGAGGTGAGCTCAGCACGTGTCCATGCGAGCCACATAGAAGGGAGGGGGTGAGCTCAGCACGCGACCATGCGAGTCACGAGGTGAGCTCAGCACGTTTCCATGCGAGCCACAGGGAAGGGAGGGGGCGCGATTGCAGATGACGGGCGAGAAGATTGAGTTCGGGGGCTCTGGAGGCTCCTGGGGGCCGTCGGGTTTGGTTGGAGGTTGTGTCGGGGACATGTCTGACAGTATGAGGACTGGATTAGACAAATTGCGGCGGTCGGGGGCCGCATACGGCCGTATTGAAGCCTCCTGGAGGCTTCTTGTAGGGCTTTCTGGCAATACGAAGAGTCGCTTGGGGTTTCTCTGCGACAGCTGTCCAGAGGGAAAGGCGGCCAGAAACACCACGGTGCGTCTTGGAGGTGAGCTCAGAACGCGACCATGCGAGCCACGGGGTGAGCTCAGCACGTTTCCATGCGAGCCCAGAAGGGGAAGGTCAGGGTGCGCATTACATTGGTTCCCGTGCGGTCCGACTGACCCTCTGCTGCTTAACGCGCATTAAATTGGTTCCCGTGTTGTCCGTTTGACGCCGTGAGGCTTTGTCGAAGCGCCTCCAGCCGTCGTGGGGCCCTCTTGGGGCTGTCCTGAGGCCCTGTTGGGCGCTTCTGGGGGCTTGCTTCAGACCTGGTAAGGTGAGCTCAGGAAATTTCCGTACGAGCCAAGAAGTCCCAGGGCTGTCCGTTTGTCGTTGTGACGTTTGGGGGCCTCTTGGGGCCTCCTCAGGTCCTTCAGCCGTCGTGGGGCCCTCCTGAGAGAGTCCCGGGGCTGTCCGTTTGTCGCTCTGACGCTTTGTCGAAGCGTTTCCAGCAGTCCTGGGATCTTGTGGCCGTCCTGGGGCTCTCGTGAGGGCTTGTCGGGGCTTTCTGGAGGCGTCTTGAGGTCTTGAGGCATCTTGGGGTCTTCTTGGGTGTCACTTGGGGTCTCATCACGTTCCCGAATTGTCCGTTTGACGCTGTGAGGCTTTGTCGAGGCGCCTCCAGCCGTCCTGGGGCTCTCTTGGGGCAGTGCTCGGCCCATCTTGGACGCTTCTGGTGGCTTGCTGGAAGCCTCTGGAGGATTCTTGCGGGCCTCTTGGGGCCTCTGCAGAGGTTATTGAGGCCTCTTGGGGGCTTCTTGGGAACCTCTGGGGGCCTCAGGAGGGGTCATTGGGGTGGAGAACCCGAAAAATCGGCCCTTGCCTCCGCTCCAGGGGCTCTCTTGGGGCGTACCTGGGGCGCTTGTGAGGCTGTCGTGGAGGCCTCTTGGGTCGTCTTGAGGACGTCTTGGACCGTCTGAGCGCTCTCTTGGGGGTCTCTGAGGCTGTCTTAGGGCGTTCTTTGGGACCTCTTGGGCCGTCTTGGACCGGCGGGAAGCCGAACAGGCGAAAACCAAATGAACTTTCCAAAACCTCAGGAAAACTAATGATTTGTGATGTTTCGGGCTCTCCTGGAAAATCTCTTGGGGGCCTCTCGGGGCGTCTTTTGTACTCCCTGGGACATCGGGACGCCATATTGGGCGTCTCTGGGGGCTTCTGGAGGGTTCACTGGGGCGAAGAACCCGAAAAATCGACCCCTGCCTCCGCTGCGGGGGCTCTCTTGGGGCGTGCCTGGAACACTTGTGAGGCCGTCTTGGAGGCCTCTTGGGTCGTCTGGAGGACACGTCTTGGACCGTCTGAGCGCTCTCTTGGGGGTTTCTGAGGCTGTCATGGGGCGTTCTTTGGGGCATCTTGGGCCGTCCGGGAGCGGCGGGAAGCCGAAAATGCAAAAACCATAAAAAAACCTTCAAAAACCTAAGGAAAACTAATGATTGTTGATGTTTCGGGTTCTCCTGGAAAACCTCTTGGGGGCCTCTCAGGGCGTCTTTTGGGCTTCTTGGGACGTCGGGACGCCATATTGGGCGACTTAGGCCGATCTTTCGGCCACTCGAGGCCCTCTTGAACCATCTTGTGGACCATCTTGGGGCCGTCCGTGTCTCTCGGAAGCGCGTGTGCGGAAATGGGGCCGTGTCCTGCCGTCTTCTGCCGTCTTCCGCCGGCGTTCCGCCCGTGGCCGGGGCCATGTCCCGGGGGGGTACCCCCCCGAGGCCCCCCCAGGGGAACACTAAACGGGAACCCCTCCGCCAGGTCGGGGAAAAACCATGGGTCCGCGCTCCCGAGGCCACGATCATTCGTAAAGAACGGTGCGTCTTCCGGACTTCCAAGACGGTGCAGGGAGGCGACCAGGGCATCCAAGGTGGCCCCAGATGCCTCGAAGACGGCCCAAAATGGCCCCAAGGCGGCCCACCATCTCGTCAAGACGGCCCACGATGCCTCCAAGAAAGCCAAAAGAAGACCTCCAACAGGGTCCAGGCATCCACCATACGGCCAAGAGGGCTTCCGACGGCCCAACAGAGCCCCAAGATGGCGAAAGAAAGCCTCAAGGCGGCTCAAGGGCCTCCAAGATCGTCCTAAGATGGCCCAAGAGGACTCACAATGGTCCACGAGGCATCCAAGACGACCCCAAGACGGTCCACGAGGGCCTCGAGATCTCACGATGCCCCGCAAAGAATCCAAGACGGCCCGAAGACGGCCCAAGAAGGCCTCATTAGAAGGCTCTGCGATGGCCCAAGACCCGTACTACGGCCAAGAAGGCCCCGAGACGGCCCAAGAGAGCCCCACGACGGCCTAGCAGAGCCTCAATACGGCCGAAGAGAGCCCCAAGACTGCCCCAAGGGACCCACAAGACTGCCCCACAGGAGGCCAAGGCAGCCACAAGACACCCTAAATGAGCTCCATGAGATCTCCTCAAGAAGTGAAGACGACAGGTGCCACGACATGAGGCGGCGCTCCTCCCCCTTCTCCGTCTCCTCAGTGTCACATGTCACGACTTCGTCGTTTCCCCAGACGTCGGCCAACATGTGGTTCCTCTTTGTAAGAGTCGTCTGCCCCATCGCGCCCTCCTCTCCCCATCCGCACCATTCGAGTGGGGAATCGACTACAATATTGATTTACCCCCAAGTTGATGCGTTCATCGGGACTGCGAAAGTACGTAGAATGATCCGTAGATCTACGAACCTTCTGCGTACTTCCCTCGAAAAATTCGGCGCGACAATCAATTCTGGGGTAAGTCAATTCTGTAGGAACGTGTTTCTTTATTTTCGGCGATAATGGGCATTATAGGGGGGGAGAACGGGCCAGGGGGGGGGTATAATGTAACGCCTACCCCCGCCGTGTGCCCGATGCGCACGGCGGCAATGCCCGGAGCGCACTGGGGGGGGAGGGGCGTTACGTTATAGGGGGGGAGGGAGGGGGGTCGGGGGCTATGATGCCCATCATGCCCCAAGCAATAAAGAAACACGCTCTAGTCGGCCCCCTACTCGAATCGTCACTCGCCCTCCAGAACGGCCGCCCTGTGCCCCCTCGGCCAGTCGCCACCCATCATGCCGGGCGGGCACGGTGGCGGCAGCCTCATGCCGCAGACCCTGCAGGCCGCGGGCTCGTCTCGGCATGCGCCGCCCTCCTCTGCCCCGAGACGGGCTCGGGGAGGCGGGCGCGTGGCAGCCGCGGGGGGGTCCAGAAACGAGCGCAGGAAGACGGTCGCAGACGGCCACATGAGCGACGATCAGAAGCGGATCTTACGCGAGATGACGCAGCGACCTTACGCCGCAGCTGACGCGGGCCGCCCGCGCGGCACGCCACACTTGAGGCGAGGGCGCTTCCGCGCGAGCTTGCGCGGGCAGCTTACGCGCCAATGTAGGCGCAGACGACCCCGTTTGTTTGGCATCGCTCACCTGACAGCCCAAGGGGAACCCAGGGTGCCGCCAAAGGGGGGGGCCAAGATGGTCGACGCGCAGAGGGGGGGGTAAGGGAGAGAGGGGAAGGCTTCTTAGAAGGAGGCTGCTCCTTAGAAGGCGCCGGCCTTACGTCTACAGACCAGGCCCGCGCCCTGGGCCCGCGCCTCGTAACAAGCAGGGGTGCTGCTGAAGCCTTCCCCCCTCCCCCTACCCCCCAAATGCGCGTGGCCGACAAGAGTCCCCAGGACATCTCCGAAAAAGCCCAGGGCGACCCACGCCACGAGTGCACCACGATAGAAAGAGATGGACGAAGAGGGCCACGAGAAGGCCACAAGGGCCACGAGTGCCCGCAAGGTACCCACGGACACCAAGAGAGCCCCGTATTGACGCACTCAGCCGGCCAGCCGGCTGGCCGGCCGTAAATGCTCTGAAGCGTTGTGCATAAATTCGGTTTGGTTGGAAAACGTACTCCATGGATGATCTCCACAAGCAAGAGACTTCCAGGAAATACATACTCCGAGTTTCTTATGAGCGTCGGGGGGCGTCACCCCCGCCTACAGCCCCACATCGACCCCCGTCGCGGGCAGCCACCGCGCGCCGAAGGCGCTCCGACCCCCGTCGCGGCGCGACGACGAGGCGAGGTTGACCCCCGTCGGGGGGGTACCACCCCACATTTATATTAAGAAACCCAGAATACAAACATGGGGCGGCAAGCGCGAGATTCGAGAAGGGATGTGCCAAGGGACGACGAGAAGAGCAAACGGAACGACGTGGACTCGTGGGCCAGCCTTGCACACGC